CTCAAAAGAGGAGATGGACCAGAGAAGAAAGCGCGCAAGGAAAGACAGAGGCCAGATTATGTCTAGGTTCATTACGAGTGCTAGAGATAGAAGTTGGTAGAAAACCTGTCTGCAGAGCAAGGTGCACAATAGGGAAGCATTAGGCCTGTTGGCTGAGGATAATCTCATGTTAACGGGGCTGTGAGAAAGCAGAGGTTCCCAGGATTTCATTCAGTCATTTACTCAGCCCAATTTTATTGACTGTTTCCATTGGAAGGCTTCATTCTGCTCATCTCCTGTTTTGTGCACCTTCTTCAAAAAGTGGAGAACAAACTGGAAGGGATTGGAAAATTCCCACAATAATCAGTGTCAAGTAGGCAAGGGGTTAAGAGACTACTTAGCATCTTGCATTTTTGTTTGCTTGCTTGCTTATTTTTGAGAGGTAACTTAGGGCAGAAGTTAATGTGTTCTGGAACCAGATTGCCTCTGTTCAGATTCCAGCTCCACAGATTCTTGGCTGTGTGTTCTTAAGCCTGCTGCTTGACCCCTCTCTGTCTTAATTCCATGGTCTGCAAAAACATGAATGACAGTATCTACCTCATAGGGCTATGAAGATTAAATGAATTAATATATGTAAAGACCTCAGAACACATGCCATAAAAGGGTTTCCTAATAATTCTATCCTCATTAAGTTTTTTTTTTTTTTCAAGTTTCTGGGGCTGAATTAATTACCATCTTAGAAACAGTGTCAGAAGTTGTCATACTAATTGGTTACTCAAGAAGACAGAAATGTGGTCAAGTGTGGTGGGCCTGGCACAGGGCAAGATAATCAGGTGTCCAGGTAGAGGGTTAGACTAGAGATAAAAATTTAAGAGTCATTAGTATGCAGATTTCAGTGGCTGATCTTAAACTAGGTCTTAAAATCTTCCAGATGATACTGGATATCCCTCATTATGAATAAAAACTGTCCCCCCTGCTATTCAAGTGGGAAGTTTTATCCTTGCTTCATTGCTCCCATTTACTTTCCTCTTGGATGGCATTAGTCCGGGGTTCTATCTTTTTTCATGTAGTCCATTTTCACAATGACTTGAATGGACCGTGCTAGACATCAAGGAGGGGGGAGGTAATAGTTTGTCATCTAAAAGAACAATAGTAGTTATTAGTAGCACACATGAGACCAAATAACATGCTTTGGAAAAGGGATGCAAGCTTGTTTTGAAAAAGAAAAAGAAAACACAAAATCCTGCAGGATTTAATTCTGACTCATAACAAAAAACTTTATGGGCCTTCAACCATCTAGTTCTCTGCTTTATTTGCTGACAACAAGGCCCAGAAAGCATATCTTTTTGTTACTTTATATGTCTTTACGTTTGCCTCTTTTAGTAACTAGAAAGTTGAAAATAGTATTTTTGAGGTGCTTCTATACAACATTTCTTGTATCTGGGATATTTTAATGTCACTGAAATGTATTTAAATTCTAGATGCATATGTGACTATGCGGAGGGTCATTCAAAGCAATGGAAGTTGATGTTTTGCTTGGTAGGACTTGCCAATTATGGTCTGTGTCAGAGGCCTGGACTTTGCTATTTATGCTCTTTAGGAATATGAGCAGCTTTTTCTAGCTCTTAAGGCTAAGGATTGAAAATTAAATTTCTAGAGAAAAATAATCCTTGGGTAACTTTGGAGAATGGCTAAACTTTTCATCCTATGTATTCAATTATTATCAAGTTCCTAATTTGTGTCCGTCATATTGATTCTGAAGATGCTGGATCTAATGACAGACTTTTTTTCAGAACACTTCATTAAGGTTCTAATTTGGTCAGTTTCCTGTGTCACTGTGCTCATTATCATTGACTTTCTCTTTATACCTATCGATTCCTTGGACTACATATGATTTTCCCCATAGTTGTCATTCTGAAGTGGTTTTCTTCTCATAAGAAATGCCAGGTCACTGTCTGGGGAGTGTTAAATAACTTTATGGTCATTTCATCTTATTTTGCTTGGCTTATTTATCATGTGTCTTAGTCTTGAAAGCAAGAAATCTCAATATCCATCTTAGTGTGTGGTCTCAAGTTTGGAAGGAATTGCTTGTAAGGACTTTTAGAAATATTAGGAGCTCCTTTGGCTCATTTACCTACTTAACATAATGGAAAAATGGTCCCAAACTCTCTCTGAAATTGCAGTTAATTTATATGAAAAATGAAGGCTCTACCGAGAGAGCATTTTACTACTTGGTGATAATTTAGCTTTTTAAAATTGTGTTAAAAGAGAAATCACTAAACACAGGAATAGCAGCAATGTTTCTGCCATAACAGACATTTCTAATTAATTCTTTGGCCATTAAACCCTTCAGGCCAATCCTCATGAGCAATAAAAGGGCAGAAGGAAGGATGTCTGGGTGGCTCAGTCGCTAAGCGTCTGCCTTCAGCTCAGGTCATGATCCCGGGGTCCTGGGATCGAGCCTCGTATCAGGTCCCTGCTCAGCGGGAAGCCTGCTTCTCCCTCTCCCACTCTCCCTGCTTGTGTTCCCTCTCTCGCTGTCTCTCCCTCTGTCAAATAAATAAAATCTTAAAATAAAAAAAAAAAAAAGGCAGAGGGAGGATGTTGGAGAAAGTTTTCCTTTTTCAACTCCGTTTTACCAGTCATATTTTTTCATTTATCTGAGGTGCAAACTAGGAGCTGCAAAAATGGCTAGGGAAAAATTTAAAAGGATCAAATACTCTCTGCATAGCTATTAAAATAAAAATTCCACCTGCGTATTATACAGTGATTCTGAGGAAGGTATTAGCTCTTAGTATTCCTTCAGTAGTTCTTTGGTTACAATAACTTCCTACAAAGAACACTTAGTGACAGAGCCTGTCTAGAAAGAAGCAACAGACTCTGATTTTCTTTCCAGTAGATGATGATTTTGGAACAGGAAGATTTATTTTCCTTTTGACTTGTGTACACAGTTCTCTAAGAATGCCAAACTAAACATTTTTCATCTCTATTTTCCTTCCGATTTCAGGGCATGCAATGATTTGCCTTCCATAGCTACATATGGTTAAAGGCTCTCCCCTTTTCCTTAGCATCTTTCTTAAATTCTTTGCTTGGATTAATCTTAAGCCAAATTTGAATAGATATTCACTGTTTTGCAACTGGTGGCTAGTGAAGCTGCAGGTTCTGTTGCTTTTGTGTTAAACAATGTCTAAATTTGGGGCGCTTGGGTGGCTTAGTTGGTTAAGCGTCTGCCTTGGGCTCAGGTCATGATCCCTGAGTCCTGGGATCGAGCCCCACATTATGCTCCCTGCTCAGCGGGGAGTCTGCTTCTCCCTCTCCCTCTCCCTCTACTCTTCCCCCGCTCGTGCTTGCTCGCTCTCTTTCTTGCTTACTCTCTGTCTCTCTCATAAATAAAATCTTAAAAAAGAAAAAAAAAAGTGCCTGGGTGGCTCAGTCGGTTAAGCATCTGCCTTTGGCTCAGGTCATGATCCCAGAGTCCTGGGACTAAGACCCGCATTGGGCTCCCTGCTGAGTGGGGAGTCCACTTCTCCCTCTGCCCTCAGCCCACTCGTGCTCTTTCTTTCTCAAATAAATAAATAAGTAAATAAAATCTTAAACAAACAACTCTAGCTTCTGGCCTTTCTAGTCTCACCCTTGTTCCCCAAACCACATTAACTCTGCCACATTGCCCCCGTGCTATAATGGGGTTTTCAGATACCCAGAAAGATGCATCTGTAGTATAAATTGAAACAATAGATTTGGGAATGAGAAGATGGGGGCTGAAGGTGCAACTCTGTTTCTTAGTGACCTTAAAGCTTTTAGTCAAGTGATTCTGCTTATCTCTAAGAGGAGTGTTCTCCCTACAAAGAACCCCAAAAGTGTTACAGTCCAGAGTTTCACAAGCATCTCTCTGACTTGTGGGTTAGAAAATCTGATTTGTCTTTACTATTCTTAGGAAGAACTTGATAGAAATTACTGGCCGCTGTTATTTGTCAAGAAAATCATGACTTCAGTCCCAAAAAACACTGCTGAATGAATGGAATGGTTATTTTCTATATTTTGAAATTCTTTTGACCCTGTAGATTGTTGTTATTATAATTTCATTTTATAAATCAGGGAGCAAAAAGGACTTAGGACTTCCTAATACATTGTAAGTTCAAAACGGTAGTTTCTAAACTTTTTTTTTTTAAGATTTTATTTATTTATTTATTTTAGAGAGAGTGTGAGTGGCCAGGGGAAGGGCAGAGGGAGAGGGAGGGGCAAAGAATCTCCAGCAGACTGCTCGGAGCTGAAGGCGGAGTCTGATGTGGGTCTCAATCCCATGACCTTGAGATCATGACTAAGCTGAAACCAAGAATCATGCTCAACTAACTGAGCCACCCAGGTGCCCCTCTAAACTTTTTTGATTAATACATACTCTATTAATAGATTAGTGCTATACATAAAAATTGAAATTCCAAAGAATGAGGCAAAATATAGACTTTCTTATATTTTCTTCTTTTCTTTGTCCCATGAATGAGTTGTTTCGTTTACTCCCTGGATTATGTGCAATGCCACTGGAAATTGCTGTTCTAAAGAACAACAACAAAAAATGTTAATAGCAGACTATATTGATCAAGAATGTATGAAATCTTGTCAGGTGTTCTGTAACTCATTTTCTCTGGTCCTACTCAAATGCTGATTTCCAAGAGCACATGTTAAGAATTAGAGTTTTTGGACATGCTTTATTCTAAAGAGAGAATTGATACAATGAAGTAACTTGAGAAGATTAAAGATATAATACTAAACAATTATGAGGTACTTTAACATGCAGTGTAGAGACAGAATCCCTATGCATGAGACTATATGCTCATGATTGTGAGGTTCTAAAACTTTCTCTCAGGAACTGTTTTAATGACTTCCATATATACATGAAAGAAAGTCTCCAGCAAAAGATGGAGAAAATTAACATTTTTTGGAGAATGAAAGCAAGCCCAGGGGTAATTTCTAACCATATGCGTAGGATATTTATAGCCTCATTGTCTTATTCATTCTTATTACAGCTCTGTGAAATAGTCATTATTATTCCAGTTTTTTGATAAAAACAAAGTTCAGACTAAGTGACCTGCCTAACATCACCTATTCAGTGAAAATGGCGTCGGAACTCTGAGCCAACCCTGTTGATGTCCTCACTATGACAGGCTGCCTCACTATCTGCCATACACCTGGGTATGTGTCTTTTCTTGTCGTTCCTGAAGTGAAAAATGATGAGGACAAATGCTCCTAAAGTGGGTGTCAACTAAATAGGTAAACTGAGGCAAGAAGGTGATATTTGGGAATAGCAAAGGAATTGCAATTCAGGGCACAACCTGTAGCATGCTAGAGGTGAGTCCTGAGGGTTTGGGGCAGGCCATGTGTATGGGCCAGGAGTGCGGAGAAGGGGGAGTTTAGCAAGAGTCCAAGCAGCAAGTCCATTGGCTTGAGGATGGGGAGAGGTTCTTGGTGGCTTTTCTTTGGTTGAGTGATAAGTTTTAGTTGGCTGTAAATTAGGCATTTATGGGAAAGTAGTCTCAGTCGTTAAGTTTGTTTTCCTGAGGACACATGTTCGAGATTCTCCTTTTCTATCCTCGGTTCCATTTTAGATTGAGATATTTTCACATGAGGAGTTAGACACTGCTTTCCTACAAAGGATTAAGGCCAGCGGCATGGCTAAGGATCATGGAAAAGTCAGTGAAAGACAAATTGGAGTCAAAGCCAATTAGAAGACGCGGGTAAGAAACTATTGAAGAGTCATCAAAAACCTTGCATAAACATACAAAGTATTAACCATATTTTGGCAAGAAATATTAACCATGTTTTGAAAAGTTTTTTTTTTTTTTCCAATTCTAGGTAAAAATGCTAATTATTTGAAAGAGTACATTAATGAAGTTTTAATGATCTGAACAGATGGGAGAGAGAAAAAGGGCAAGGGAAGAAGAGATGGAGGTGGGGACAGTTTTCTTTAGATAATTGCCCTCTTTGAGATGGGGTGTCCTTCTTAAGAAATTCATATATATTTCAGTTGAAGCTTTTAATATTGTTGGAACTCAGTTATTTGTAGAAGATGGGAACTAGCCATATATACTTTGACTTTTCTTTCCTATTTTTCATTCATTCATTTATTTATTTATTTATTTTTAAAGGATTTATTTGAGAGAGAGAGTGGGGGAGGGGCAGAGGGAGAGAATCTTCAAGCAGACTCCCCACTGAGCACGGAGTCCCAATTTGGGGCTCCATCTTGCAACCCATGAGATCATGACCTGAGCCGAAATTAAGAGTTGGATGCTTATTCGGCTGAGCCACCCAGGTGCCCCTCATTTATTTATTCTTTTATCTCCACATTTCATTTGCATTTTCTTCCTCTCACCCACTCTTATAACAGTATGTATAAATTGCTTACTGTGCACCAGGCAGTTTTTCAACATGTTCAGTATATATCCTGTTTCTCTCTGTATACTTAGAAAATAGCCATGGTTTTGCATACATTTGTCCAAACATTTTATTGTGAAAAAAATCAGATTACAGAAAAGTTTGAAGAATTGTGCAGTGAACACCATCTAGATTTTACATTTTGCTATATTTACTTTATCATGTATTCATTCATTTTCCATCCCTCTATCCATACTTAAATCTAATTAATAACATGTATATCGAAGCTTTAGAAGGGCACTGATATCTACAGTTTACTTTGAAATGCGTCTAGAAATTAAGGTTAATGATATATTTGTTTACTTTGTTTAGTTAAAATTTACAGAGGAATGATTGACTTTTAAGGATGCTATTCGATGAGTTTTGACAACTGACATATGTATTGTTAGTTTACATGGATGTTAGTGTGTTCTGTAGCTGTTTCTGGTTTTCATTTTTCTCACCAACCTCTGCTTTTAGGATGTGTCCCTGCTGCCATGGTACCCCTAATCAGTTGCTGACCGTGCCTACTTTCAGGGTAGTAGTGACTGTTAGAAGTCATCCATTTAGAATACTAAGTGGAGTGCCGTTCTAAGGCACTAGATGATTGTGAGCTTTTTTCATTCATTCCACATTTAATAAGTAGCTGTTCAGCGTCTACAGTGTGATGGGCATTGAATCTATTGTGGTGAACCTTTTTCTGCTGTCACTACTCAGAGCTTTTGGAGGAGAGGTAGTTATTTAACCATAACTCTCTTTGAAGAGTAAACTGTTTCTTATCACATTGAAGTCTAACTGAAGCTCCTTAAAATACGCAGAAGGAACATTGAAAATGCATTAACTGGCTCAAATTAAAAATGAATTTGGAAGCCTGCTTGTGGAAGTATATGCTAGCTTGGTGTTTAAATGAGGTAATAAAACAGCTCACACTTACTGAACACCTAGTACCTAGTAGCTGCTGTGCAGGGCATCTTACATCTCATTTCATTACCATAACAACCCTATGAGGTAAGTACTATTTCCTTCATTTTATAGATGAAGAAAACTCAGGCCAGAGGGGTTAATACGTTGCCCAAGGGCATGTAGAGGAAAGAGTAGAGTGGAATTTGGACTTATATCCATTTGTCTCTAGAGCCTGGACCATGAGCATTTGTTCTACTTATCATCAGAGGAGAAAAAAAAGCTCCAGTGAGTGGCGAATATTTTGACCTAATGAGTCATGGTAGATTGCTCTTTTTGATTCTGTGGAAATTCTGTTGTTTCGGACCCCGTATAGATCCACAAAACCGCACGAAAGAATACAGCGTGGATTTTGCTGCTCGCTTGTGCACTTTGTATGGAGGTGCATATTACTGCATTTTCTGGTGATCTGTATTTGCTGGGCCTTGATTCTAGCATACTCAGATAGGAAAGGCCAACAGAATTAAAATGATGGTGTCCTCTTCAGTTTCTGAAAAAGGCAGATTAGAATGGAGGGGCAAATAAGAAGCTGGTGATAGGTCTGAGGAAGAGAGAGTTCCCAGTAGTTGCTGGATACAGGTGCAGGGGTATCTCTCTGGAGTTCCTCCCAGGGTTTCTTAATGGGGGATGGGTTATCCTCACAGACACTGGAAACATGTAGGGGCTTTCGGTTGTCAGTGATTTGGGAGTGCTATGAAATTTAATATGCAGGGTCAGAAATGATAAACATCCTACAGTGCCTGAGTCAGGTTTACCCAGAGAGGAATGGTCTTTCCTCAAATGGCAATGCTACTCCTGTTGGAATGAGGAATGAGAGCACAAGGAAAGCTGGAAAGGATTCTGGGAGGAAACCAGATGTATCTTTAGTATGTTTTATTCATATGGTCACAGTGTGCTTCTGTGTGCGTGTGAGAGAGACAGGGAGGGAGAGATCTTGGAGAGTCTTGTGTTACATTTGAGAAAGTTATTGAATTCCCTCATACATGTTGACATTGATCTGACCTGCTAATAATTTGAAAATTGGTTATGATGAATTGTTCTTTTAATGCACTGCCAGAATTTAGTTGATATCATTTAAAAATGTTTGCATCTTTATTTATAAATGAAATTTGCCTATGGTTTTCTTTTCCCAAATTATATTTATTATATTATGTTAAGAACATGATAACCCATAAAATAAATAAAAGGAATTCTTTGGTTGAGAATAGATAAATTAGGAATTATTTGTACCTTAAAAGTTAGGTATGATTCAGCTGTTATATCATCAAGCTCTGTTTCTAGAAATGGGACCTTTACTTTGCTGTTCAATATTTTTTTGTGATTATTAATCTCTTCAAGCTTTCTATCTACTACTTGGTCAAATGTATTATAATTTTTCTTTTGGTTGAAAATCAGTGTTTCTCTAAATTTTCATATTTATCACTGTCTTAGCTTGGGATGCCTAGAACACACAGGCTGAGGCAAGGCTGTAGTGCTGTTTTATTGGGAGGTGCTATCCTGGGACAGGCTTGGGAAAGAGAGGGAAAAGGGAGCCTGGGAAGGATGGGAAGCAAATGCAAGTTGGTGCATGACCATGATGCCCAGTGCTTCCTGAAGGGTGAAGGGCATCTCCAAACAGGTTGTATGGAAAATGTTTTGGAATAGTCTGCAGGAGAGAGGAAGGGAGGTGGATTTATCTGCCAGCTCCCTCCCATCTCCTTTCTCTCATTGGTCAGTGTTGGCCCCGTTGGGAGGTTACTCCCTGCCCTGCCAGCCTACGTCACCTGGCCTCTTTGCTGTGGAAACTGGATACCACTATCGTGGAATGCCAATGTTTCGAAGCCCTGTGGCTTCTGTCGTGATGGGAAGGGGTGAGGGACACCATGTTTCCCAGGGCCTGGCTGTCACCTCAGGAGAGAACGAAAAGATCAGTGGTGGTGGCAGCTGTGGGCTGAGGGCTCCAGGAGACGGGTGCAGTCTTGAGAATCTGAGGTGACCCTTGAAATGTGTCTGAAACAATTTCCATAGATTTGCATATATATTCTTTTATGATTTTTAAATCACTTAAAAAATCTGTGGTTTTATCACAATCAAAAATAAAAAAAATATCTGTGGTTATCATCTTTTTTAAGGTTGTATATTCTTGTTTTTTTTTTCTCTTTTTCCATTAATTAGGCTCTCCAGGGGTTTATGCATTTTTAAGGAATGTTAGCAGAAAAAACTTCTTGCAGAGAAAGTTTTATACGTTTCTTATTTCTTACTGCATTCTGATCAAAATGTAAATTTTAGATGCTAATGATGATTTCCTTTAGTTTGGTATTTTTTGATGTTATATTTTTAATGTCTTACATTTAGTACTTGTTTCATTTTTAATATTAACACATATTGAGATATTTAATGGTATATTTTGGCTTTGAGTATAGCTTTACCTGTGGCCCATGGGTTTTGGCATCAAGTAGTCTCTTTTTTGTTACTTTTCTGACAATTTATGAGTATAATTTTGAAATCAACAAGGTCCTTCTGGAGTAACAATTTCTGACTCAAGGAGTGGCACCACAGTTTCTTAAAGAAGATTTAGATATATTTGGAGGTCTTTCTGAGATTCTTTACTCAACTTCTGCCTCAGAATCATTCTAGAGATAATCTATAATAATGATAATTAAAAAAAAATGCTTGACATGGCCCTAATCCAGTTTTGGGTCAATAGACATAGCAAGTCAGCTTGGCATTGCCCTTCCTTGGGGAAATGGTCACTTTTGCTGTGTCTCATGTTCTGGACAATTGACTCCTTCACAGTGATTTTGGTGTTCTAATCCCATAGCTATTTTCACCCTGTTGGTATTTTGACTTTGGATGCACTAATATACACATTTTAATCAGACTTATACAGACATTGAGGACCTTTCATTAATACAATAGTTTTTGGAGTAAACTCTATTAAGCAAATTAAATTCTTGTCTGCTCTACGTTACTGCTTATAATGGTTAGTGAGCCAGGAGCCAGTCCTGTCTCTTGTGATTAGGTGACTCTGTTGGCCTCTTCCACTCTGGGATCCTCTAATCTTTATTGAAATAATGGGACCTGTTCCAAAGGTGGCTTTCCTACTTATCTTGATTCACAGGGTTCAACCATTAAAGTGCTTTTCAAAGACCTCAACATTTAAATATTTCTCAGTGCTGTGGTAAAGACCTTGGGCCTTCTTGGGAAACATAATTTGGGATAGATAAATAAATGTATATAATAATTTTAGTTTATTATTTCTGTCTCTCTGGCTCTTTGTATTTTTTTTTTCTACTACATTATATAATCTGGTATCTCAGCCTCCTTTAGCATAGGCCACCCTCAAGTCCACATTTGAGCTAAGCAACCAAGAAAACAGTTGGAAGCAACTGGGGTTATGTAGAACTAGTACATTGGGTCCTGAATTCTTGGCATTTATTTCCATATTCATAACCTTAGTAAATCTAAAGTTATGTTCTTTTCCCTCTAACATCCTCAATTCATTTTCATATTTATTCTCCAGATTTCTGGTAATAGAAGTTAACCACTTGTAATTTTTCTTGTTGTAGATTCATGGTTTGACTTTGTAATTTACCTTAAAGGGTGTGGTGGAATGTATCTCTACTTTTAGTTATAGAAGTCCTGTAAAGAACGGGACATGGGGAAAATTGGCACTCCTTGTGAAGGAACTATGTTAGGTGAGTCATTTACAATCAAGCCTTCTGTATTAAGTCAGGAACGGACTTACGGGAAGAGAGAGCTACTTCATCTGGCAAGGGAGGATTAGTGTGTGTGTGTTTTTCTGTTTTTGT